TGCTAAGTATATTAGTTTGCATCTGATTTTCTTCTTATTAGAATATCTTCCAATATATTTGTTTCTTTGGGTTTTCGGAGGCTATGATTGACTGTTGTACAGAATAGAGTAAAACAGAATAAACCAAGTCCTGGGTTCTCTTTACTAAAGATGTATGATCCAAAGGTCTTGAGAAGTTCAACCAGAAGACCAATGGTAGCAGATAGATACCAAAAATGAGAAGATAGAGGTCAGAGGTAAGTTGAGCAAAGATCAAGAAAAGAAAATTTAGAACAGGTGTCCAAGCAGATAGACTGGTTGAGGAGACCAGCAAAAACAAGACAAAAGTCAATATTGACTTGATACTAAAGCCAGACGAAAGAGACATTATAAGGAAAATGAAGCTGCAGACCATTATCACTCCTAGACATAGAAATAAATTTCCTTAATCTAATAATAGCAAATATGTCACACATGTATACACACACACACACACATATACACATTGCAGGTGAAAGTGTAAATGAGACCATCACTTTGGATAAGTTTGATGATTTCTTATAAATTTAGACACACACATATCATGTGATCTACCAACTTCATCCCAAGGTATTTACCCTTGAGAAATGATAATATGTGTTCACAAAAAGACTTTTGCATCCATGTCTTTAACAGCTTTATTCATAATAATAAAAAAGTCACTAATACTGGAGAATTGACCATTTTAAATCTAAATTTATTATTTACTAATAAAGGAATGTAATCAACATTTTCCTAATAATTCCAATTTATTAGAAAAGCTCAGCCATCTCCAATTTCTTGCTGAATAAGAAACTCTTTGGAGTCAAGGGCTATACCTTACTTAACTTTGTATTTGTAGTGTCTAGTTTAATGCCTGGCACATAGTAAATGCTGAAAAAATAGGTGTTGGTCATAATAAAGCTTAGCACAAATTTAGGTTCTTTGAAGGGGCATGATATATCTTTAAGTCTCAATATTAGCATAGTTTATAAGACATATTTTCCTTAATCCTTAGTTAGGGGCTCATAGGAAGCTCTCAGCAGCCACATGTCCCAGAGGGGTTGAACTTGGACACTCTAGTAGCTTTATGAAGAGTCCCAAGGATTCAGGATGAGGAAATTGGCCTCTCCTCTTCTAGTTGCCCTTGGCTAAGATTGTGCCATCAGTTATGATGAAAAAAAAAACATTAAGTACTACATTTCCTAAGTCAGGAGCATTCTAGGTCAAGTTTCAAAGGGAACTAACAAATCAATTCTTTCCTATGATCTAAGGGAAATTTTACTGTCACATATGGGAAAGAAGTCTCATGAAATGAGTAAAAAGACAAAGAATTCAGTTCCTAGGTTTTCCCAGTCATATCATTAGTGTCAAATTTGGCCTGATTTGAGAAGTCATTTAACTTGGGTAATTTCCTATAATTACTGGGTGGGTAAACATTATAAACTTAAGATGGAAATAGGAATTATATTTCACTTTGAATTTACATTGTTTATTTTCAAGTAAACTTCAGCTAACTGAAGAAAATCAAAACTATGATACTCCAAGTAGCCTCCAACAAATGATATTAAAAAATCCAAAACCCCTTATACATAACACCAGAGCAAATTCATTCCTTTGTTTCCAATCAAGAAGTAGTTTAGAATGTCAACAGGTAAACATATTTAATTGCTCATCTCATTGCAGCTAATACAGCCTTCCTTGTAAAGGCAATGAAAATGCAAAGTTCAGAAAACATTTTAAGATAACGTACATGCTCCAAATCCCCTGGGAAGATTAGAGGTCATTATCAAAATTGAAATATACAGTGGACTATGTTTTATCCCAGGACAAACACTACATTGTTTATTCCTTTTATTTCTGAGTCTCTTTCATCGTAATTGCCATTCCTGACCTTTGAGGAGATGCTGGTGCTCAACAACAACAAAAAAATCTCCAAAGAGCCCAGAAATTCTTTCTTGCAGTTTTGCAAGTTTTACCCCATTTGTTTCTCAAATAATTGTATCTGTTATAAAAGAAAACACACACATCTTACTTTCTGGAAGTTATCTGAAGAGTTTCATGTAGACTTTGTTGATTTAAAAAATAAAAGTGTTTTTGGAAAGATCTGAGGCTGGATTTTGATGGATCAGACTGACCTAGGTTCTGAGCTCACCCCTTATTGGATGACCTTGGCCAAAGGGCTTAGTCTTCATTGATCTCCTTCTCCATAAAAATATTCATGTTAGGATCAAGTGAAGATTTAGTGTTGGGTACCTAGGTAATCCTTAATAAAGCTAACTATATGATGATGAAGAAATAAATTGATCAAAAAGTAGGAAATGGGGGGAAAGCTGCAGAAGGAGAGTAATGGGGAAAAATATCAGAGAAGTCCACAGGAGGATGAAGGGCAGGGTAGAAAAATTCGCAACAAAGCTACTCCATCCTGAATGCCTTAAAAATCAACTGAACATACATCTTATCTGTGACCAGGTCATCAAGAGGGCACTAGTACCAGGAGTATACAAAGTCATCCTAAGTTTTGTTGATGCTTAATAAGTTCACAATAACTGATATGATTTTTGCCCTTCCTTGAGCTTATATTCCTTCAGGGATCTTGGGGAATGATTATGAATGGATAGTAGGGGAAGTCAGTAGATAGTTAGGCCTCTGTGTTTGAAAATATTAAATGCCATTTAATCAAGTAACACACCACTAGGCAGTTATTTGTTTACATGAATGTACTTCCATAGACTGGGATCCTTAAGGAAATTTTTGCTTTTGTTCCCCCCAATACCTAGCACCGGAAAGTCTGATAAAAAGGTCTTGAAGCAAGTAAGTCTGCAATAGCACAAGGCTCCATGCAGAAAAGCAAGGAAAGTTAAAAATAGGTCTGTGTCTCCAGGAATCAATACTCTAGAGTTGGAAATCACAAAACAAGTATAGACCAAGATTTTCTCAGCATGGAGGATCCCAGGTGCCAGGGAAGCATGAGGGTCTTATGAAAAGTACAGTTACCTCCTAATACTGACTCTCAAGGACTGAGCTCCCCTCTGGAATGGATGTAGAAGGAAGCTTAGAAAACACATAGAGTGAGTCAATTAAGCCTTAAAAGCTTTCTGATCCAACCACTTCATTTTTCAGAGGAGGATGTTAAGAATCTAGAAAGATGAAATTATTTCCCCCAGAGTCACATAACAAATTTAGGGCCTAGGATCCCTGACATAGAGTGTTTGCTATTTTTGCTATTCCTCAGAGACTTTTCTCTGTTCAGTGCCCCCCCCCCCCCCCCCCCCCCCCCCCCCCCCCCCCCCCCCCCCCCCCCCCCCCCCCCCCCCCCCCCCCCCCCCCCCCCCCCCCCCCCCCCCCCCCCCCCCCCCCCCCCCCCCCCCCCCCCCCCCCCCCCCCCCCCCCCCCCCCCCCCCCCCCCCCCCCCCCCCCCCCCCCCCCCCCCCCCCCCCCCCCCCCCCCCCCCCCCCCCCCCCCCCCCCCCCCCCCCCCCCCCCCCCCCCCCCCCCCCCCCCCCCCCCCCCCCCCCCCCCCCCCCCCCCCCCCCCCCCCCCCCCCCCCCCCCCCCCCCCCCCCCCCCCCCCCCCCCCCCCCCCCCCCCCCCCCCCCCCCCCCCCCCCCCCCCCCCCCCCCCCCCCCCCCCCCCCCCCCCCCCCCCCCCCCCCCCCCCCCCCCCCCCCCCCCCCCCCCCCCCCCCCCCCCCCCCCCCCCCCCCCCCCCCCCCCCCCCCCCCCCCCCCCCCCCCCCCCCCCCCCCCCCCCCCCCCCCCCCCCCCCCCCCCCCCCCCCCCCCCCCCCCCCCCCCCCCCCCCCCCCCCCCCCCCCCCCCCCCCCCCCCCCCCCCCCCCCCCCCCCCCCCCCCCCCCCCCCCCCCCCCCCCCCCCCCCCCCCCCCCCCCCCCCCCCCCCCCCCCCCCCCCCCCCCCCCCCCCCCCCCCCCCCCCCCCCCCCCCCCCCCCCCCCCCCCCCCCCCCCCCCCCCCCCCCCCCCCCCCCCCCCCCCCCCCCCCCCCCCCCCCCCCCCCCCCCCCCCCCCCCCCCCCCCCCCCCCCCCCCCCCCCCCCCCCCCCCCCCCCCCCCCCCCCCCCCCCCCCCCCCCCCCCCCCCCCCCCCCCCCCCCCCCCCCCCCCCCCCCCCCCCCCCCCCCCCCCCCCCCCCCCCCCCCCCCCCCCCCCCCCCCCCCCCCCCCCCCCCCCCCCCCCCCCCCCCCCCCCCCCGCCCCCCCCCCCCCCCCCCCCCCCCCCCCCCCCCCCCCCCCCCCCCCCCCCCCCCCCCCCCCCCCCCCCCCCCCCCCCCCCCCCCCCCCCCCCCCCCCCCCCCCCCCCCCCCGCCCCCCCCCCCCCCCCCTCCCCCCCCCCCCCCCCCCCCCCCCCCCCCCCCCCCCCCCCCCCCCCCCCTCCCCCCCCCCCCCCCCCCCCCCCCCCCCCCCCCCCCCCCCCCCCCCCCCCCCCCCCCCCCCCCCCCCCCCCCCCCCCCCCCCCCCCCCCCCCCCCCCCCCCCCCCCCCCCCCCCCCCTCCCCCCCCCCCCCCCCCCCCCCCCCCCCCCCCCCCCCCCGCCCCCCCCCCCCCCGCCCCCCCCCCCCCCCCCCCCCCCCACCCCCCCCCCCCCCCCCCCCCCCCCCCCTCCCCCCCCCCCCCCCCCCCTCCCCCCCCCCCCCCCACCCCCCCCCCCCCCCCCCCCCCCCCCCCCCCCCCCCCCCCCCCCCCCCCCCCCCCCCCCCCCCCCCCCCCCCCCCCCCCCCCCCCCCCCCCCCCCCCCCCCACCCCCCCCCCCCCCCCCCCCCCCCCCCCCCCCCACCCCCCCCCCCCCCCCCCCCCCCCCCCCCCCCCCCCCCCCCCCCCCCCCCCCCCCCCCCCCCCCCCCCCCCACCCCCCCCTGCTCCCTCTGTGGGCTGGAGGAAGCAGTGGCCTGGAGTCTGCTGCCTGACTCACACCTTCCCTAGCCCTGGGGTGCAGTTGGGTTGCCAACATCTTTCATCTTTCCTCTTAGCATCTATGGTGAGTTGAGGGGTGGAGGGAGGTTTGCGAGGCAGCTCAGGAGCATGTCGCTGGAAATTGGAGGGGTGTGGGAAGTGAGTGTCAGCACTGGCTGTTTGAGAGGAGCCAGGCTCTGTGGAATCGGGAGCGGAGCAGGGTGCTTACGTCTTTGGAGGGCTTGCGGAGAATATCACCCACACCACCACCATTGCGCAGCCCATGGTTCATGACAGTTACGATGCACATCAGCAGGGTGTCACAGGCCCGTTCCGTGCTGTCCAGCTCCTCGTCCTCTGAGATTGGAGAGTGCTCAGCCCCAGGCCGCCTGCCGCCGGCCCCACCTGACTCCCATACACACAGCATGCTCACCTTCCAGGACCTCAGGCACTGCGACCCCCGCGACACAGTCTATCTGGTCCCCGCTGCACGCGCCCACAAATGTGGCGGTACCATGTGGCATCCTCAGGGGACTGGCTGGAGGGGAAAGGGATGAGGTTACCAGGGTCCAAATGCCTGACCTTGCCATCCTCCTAGGTCTGTCCTCAGCATTATGCCCCGGGGAGGCCTCCCCGGATCCCACCTGCTCCCCACGCTGTCTACGAAGTAGGATCTTCATGTTCCTCCCCACTGGGCTGAGCACTAAGGGCAGGGAGGAGGCTCTGTATTCCTGGGCCTGGCACACAGGCAGCCCCCGCAAACCCAAGGTTTCCCACCCCCTCGGAAACCTAGGGCTGTGAGCTAGGGCTGGAGGTGTGGCTGAAGTAGCAGAGCACCTGCCTAGCAAGCACGAGGCCCTTGAGTACAAACCTCAGTGCTGAAAAGAAAGACTGCAGTGAGACAGACCCTCTGGGAAGCAGATCACTGTGAGCTAGACCATCCCAGAATCCAACAGCAGACACAGGCAAGGAGCACTCCACATCTACTCCTGACACAAATCACCTGCGCAGGCCTAGTGGCACCCCTACACACACACCCCGGAGAGGAAACCCCCAAGACCTCTGGAGTGGTTGCCGGGCAGCCGGTCCACCTCGAGAATGAAGTCATCCTTCAGGAAGAGGAAGCCCACAATGGAGAAGAGGTAAACAAGGATGAGGGCCAGCAGGGCAGTCAGCAGGATGGAACGGCCATTGCGGGTCACACTCTTGATGACATTGAACAGTGTCTCCTCACGGTAGATAAGGTCAAAGAGCTGCAGGACAGGGATGATGCCTTGAGGGGCTGGGCCAGGCATTCTGCCTGGGGACTGCCAGACCTCAAGGACTGCCTGAGCTCCCGATGGATCCCACAGGCTCTGCCCAGTGGCATCTGCGCGCAAGCAGCTGGGTGGACCTGGGAGAGGCTTTTTGGAGGAACTTCAGTTCTACTTCCATGGACGTGGAGTGAACAGGAGAAGCCCCTTGCCAAGAAACATTTTAAGTGCATTTCATACACTGGCTCATTTCATCCCCAAAATTATTCTAGAAAGTAGAGGCTGTTGTGAGGCTCCAGGCAGTTGAGTAACTTGCCCAAACTTACCCAGTCAGGTGTGGTCAAGCTGGAATGCAAACCCACAGTGTGGCTCCAGAATCCAGGCTTGACCACTCCCCTACCCCAAAATATTGGACAGATGGGGTTCATGGCACCACAAGGGGCTATCAGGGTCTTGAAGACAGACAGGTCAGGATAAAGAGGACTCTAAAAATTTGTTCTCTCAGCCCAGTAGCAAAAGGGAAACTCCACTGATGCAGGGAACCACATGTTGCTCACGGGAAGCCCCAACTGCCCCCCACAGCCTCTCTGGCTGCACACCACACAGTGGGCTCACCAGGATGCTGTAGAACAGCTCATGGGCAAAAAGGCCCAGGACACTGGTCAGGATGTAGCCCACGTGGTAGAGGAATTCCATGTCCATGACCATGGCCTTATAGCCCCGGATGAAGGTGCCTCGGTTGCCCACGAAGCTCACCACAAACACGATCTTGTTGGTCAGCTGCAGGCAAGTGCAGGGCATGAAGGTCAGTGCTTTATCCACCCTGAGTCTACCCCATCACCACGACCATGCCCAGCCCACACCCAGCTCAGAGGCCAGGGCTCCAGTGGAATGAATCAGAGCTGGTCCTGCTCAGCATGGAGGGAGGCACAGCACTGAGTTTGCTTCTAGAAGTGCATCTGGGCTCCTGGGATCCAACTATGTAAGTCCCTGGGTCCTCTGGCTCCAGGGAAAAAAAGGGGCTGAGACACAGGAGGATGGGCCAAAGACTTCCCCTGGCCTTTATGGTGACTGGGTTAGTTAGGAAAAAGACCCCCTTGCTCAAGGCATTTTATTTCCATCTGCCAGGAATGTCCACCCATGAATAGTGCAGTGTGCCACCAAGACAGCCTTGAAGCTGCTGCTTCAAAGTGGCTCCTATCTGTCTGTCCAAGTGCCAGCTGCCCACAGTTGTCAAGGGAGGGGAGGAGGCACACAATGGCACAGACCACTGGTCTATAATGAGCTTGGTCTATAATGTCCCCGACACAGAGGGGACAGGGCAGGTCAGTGGCTGGGATTGGCAGGCCAGCTCCAAGGCCAACCACATGATAAGCAATGGAGTGGCTTGGGGAGGGGTTCCCCCCAGTACTCACATTGAGGGCCCCCAGAATGTTGAGCGTGGGCCCAATGCCCAGGTAGTAGATGGAGCGCAAGATGAGCGCCACAATGAGGGGCCGGATGCTGTAGCGCTTGGTGAACAGGGCCGCAATAGAGAAGCAGATGAGGATCCAGAAGAGCAGCGAGATGAGCGGGGAGCCCAGTACACCTGGGGCCAGCAGGCAGCAGTGAGTGGGGCTTGCTCAAGCCCACCACAGCCAACACAGATCCAAGACACCCCAAGAATTTCCCCTTCCTTGGAGCCTTCGCTACGAAGGTCCTGGAGCCTAAGTTCAGCACCCTCCCTTTCTCCTGCATCTCTAGGCCTAAGAGGGATAGCCTGAGTGCCGCTGCCATATCTGGTTTCCAGCTCCCAACTATGCACATGTGCCAGTCTCCCCGCGGTCAAAGATCCCATCTGTCCCTTGGCCACACCTGTCTCCCCACCATACACACAGGGTCCCAAAGGCAGTACAGGGTTTTTCTTCCCATTTTGCATCTGGTCCCCTCAGAGCCTGGGTTGCCCCAAAACTCTCTGCCCTAACCTGGGAGAACAGGATGGCTCTGGGGTCTCGCACCAACACCACGTCCTCACCTGTGGACGCACCCTCTACGTAAGGGTAGAAGAAGGCGATGATGATGTTGATAAACACTGCCAGGTTGAAGGAGATGCTGCCCCACAGGGTCATGCGGCGGGAGAACCAGTAGATCAGCGGCATGCCTGTGGGAGGAGGGGTGCACTGGGTGAGCGGGTCCCTGCTGCCTGCCACACATGAGCACCGCTGCCCTCACAAGTTCCAGGTTCCACTCTAGAGCAAGATGTGATTGAAAGAGCCACTCCTTGGGAGAGGCAGTGGGGGGGCACCTTCCACAGGCCAGGGAAGCCTAAGGGGCATCGATGGGGGGTTGGGACCACCTGCCCTCCTGCCCCCTGGTCCTCACTGCGGAGCTTGCGCTGCCACTCCATCTCGTTGTGCAGGAAGGAGGACTGGTCAAAGAAGTCGCTCACTTTGCTGCCCTGCTCGTCCTGCTCGGTGGTGTGAAGAGCCGGTGCTTGGTCTCCTCTGTCAGGAACTGGCAGATGCCGGGCACCGGGAACACAATCTGCTCCATGCTGCGGTCCTGCCGCACAATCTGCACACATGGGTACGCAGTCACTCCTGGACAGAGACCTTCATTCCCCCCAGCCCACGTCCTCAGGCCTCACCTCAATCTGTGACGTGTGGTTCTCATAGTAGGCCAGGGGGTCCTCCTCCTCTTCCTGAGCAGGCACAGAGGACTTGAGCATCTGTGACAGCTGCTTGTTGTTGAGGCTGAGCTGAGGAGGGGGAAGGTACCAGGACAGGCTCAGATGTCACACAGCCAATTCTGGCACCCACTCCCCCCACCCGCCAGGCCTGAGGCAGGCTCCCACCCGCACACCAGGGAATATCTCACGGAAGAAAGCACGGGCCAAGCCCACCAATTAGATCTGGTGACAAAGGAAGGGGACTGGGAAAGCAGAAGCCAAGTATTGCACAAGACAATAGTCGCCCTCGTCAGTCCGGCACGGGAGCGACCTGGGTTCTGCCTGAAGCTTCCAGACCACCACAGATCCACCCAGATTTTGCTTCTACTTCTAAGTTCGGGTTTTACCTCTGGCCCCAGTCCAGTTCCCACCCTCAAATTCTAGCCCTGCTCTCAGGTCCAAGCTACTCACTCAGTTCCAGGCCACCCTTGGGTCTCAGCTTCTCCCTGATTCCCACAGGCCTCTCAAATCTCAGACCTTCCCTCATCCCTCCCTCAGGTGGGAGCACCCTCAGGTGGATACTGGCCCATCCAATCTCTTATCGGGCCATGTTCCTGGGCCTAAGCCCCTCCCTACTCCCAAACTTGCCACCTCCCCCTCTCCCAGGACACCCACCATGGAAGAGATGCCCTCAGCCTCCTCCTCTTGGATACGCTTCACGGGCTTCAGCAGGTGCTGCAGCTGTTTGTTGTGCCTAGAAAGCTGAGTGAGCAGGCCACACTGTTACGGACGTGGTCGTAAGGTATGGTAGTGGGGTGTGACCGCAGGGTGAAGTCACGAGTGGGACTGGTACCTGTAGAGCCAGGATGTAGATGTTGTGGCCCACTTCACGTGGGCTCACCTCGGAGTTTTCACGCTCTTCCTCCTGCAGGTAGGCCTTCTTGATGACATCCACCTGGCGGGACATCACCTGTTCGAATGCCCTCTTCCGGGGGCAGTAGGGCCTGCTAGGCCCTCACCCCATCCTGGTACACCCAGCTCGGTCCCCTCTTCCCACCCACCCGTCAGCCCAACCTCACCAGCTCCTGGGGACGCAGGCTGATGAGGATTCGCTCCGCGTTTTCACCGTCATGCCGGCTCTCCATCAGAGCCAGCAGCAGCTTGGATGCATTGTCCTGGGTGGAGGCAACCGGGGAAGCAACCAAGGCTGAGGGCTCCCACAGGGCCCCCGCATCCTCCTCCTCACTCTAGTCCCAGAATCCAAGATGTGCCATGACTTTCCCAGCCCGAGTCCCATGCTTGCTAAGAAGTATCCTGAATAACACCCCCCAAACACACACGCACACACTAGGCCAGCCCACCCCGCTCTGCCACCCACAGCTCAAGTTCCCAGACAACAGATACACACACAGGAAGTCCTTGATGAACCCAGGACACCTTTGCTTCTGGAGTACCTCCTGGCATGTTTGACCACATCTGCACTCTTGTGTAACACAAACATGTATGTATCAGACGCTCATGCATCATGTGTGTGATACCTGCATCACACACCACCACGCACACTGGACACACAAGCCACATGTGCAGCACACACATCACACGCTCACCAGGCCCCACCTTGAGTTGCAGCACCAGATCCATACGGTACTTGCACAGGGGGCTGATGTCATTGAGAATCAGAGCAGTGATGATGTCAATGCCATTGGACTCGTGTGTCACGATGCAGGTCTGGCAGGAGGCAGGAGGGAAGCATAGGGCCCGGGGCCCCAGAGTTGTGGTAGCTCCAGAGACCTCAGCCTCGCTCCCTGCCCAGCTCACTCCATCCACCTACATGTCAGCACTGCCCGCCCAGCTGCCGCTCAGCCAGCCACAACTGGCTCACCTGGTTCTCATGACAGGGACCCTGGCAGTACTCGGTGAGGGTCTCCAAGGTCTGGATGACAAGGCCCACGTTGTCCTCATTGATGTAGAGTCCCAGCAGCCCCAGGCCCCCCGTGGTGCTGCCACACATGATGTCCAGGAACTGCAGCGTCTCACACACCAGGTTGTAGTTGGTCTTGTTGTTCTGACAGCGCAGGAAGTTCTGCCGAGCACAGACGGGTGGGCATGGCATGGCGCCAGCAGGAGGGAGAGGCCGCCTAAGGACCACTATCCTGTGGGCTGCAGCCACAGAGCAGCCATGCCCAGCCAGATTGAGGACACCAGCTGGCTGGACAGAAGGGGCCAGGCAGGTGCAGGCGAGGTGCTCACCTGCAGGTCGCGGTTGTGGTTCTCACACAGCAGCTGCAGGAAGCGCAGGATAGGCTGCATGATGAGCACGGACGAGCCCATCTCGTTGCTCTGCACGCGCTCGCCCACCTCGTGCCCCCGGTGCAGGCTGGGGCCCAGCAAATAACGGGATGAGGAGCCAGGCATGGAGAAAGAGGCCACACGGCCTGGAGGGTGAGATCTAGTGAGGTTAGGGCTGCTGGGAGCTGCCTGTGACCCTTCCCTGAATCTCTCCCTTGCCCTGTATATCCTGCCCTATGACCAACCCCCCACCCTGCACCCTGTGGGACTGCCTTGTTCCCCTGACCTTTGTTCGAGGGGTCTGCTGGTTCCCGGTCCTCACGTGGCTGGCTTCCCAGGTCATTCATGTTGACAGCCACTGTGGACTTGGTCTCTTGCTGGGCCCGCTTCATACGATCATGCAGCACCTTGAAGAAGCGCTCTGACTTCTTGTCACTCGTCATCAGATTGTAGAAGGATTTCTGGAGGTGGACAGGGGGATGACAGTAGCCTCAGCTTTGGACCTGACTCTAATGGCCCTGGGTCCCCACTTGCAGGCAAGCTCCCTCAGCCCCAGTCACCACTCCCATGAGTTCTACCTCCCAAATATGAGCTGGCACCCATAGATGGAAAACAGGCAGCCCCCCATACTGCACCTGGATCTCAGTGTTGCCCCCATCCAGCAGGCGGATGGCCAAACCAATGCTCTCTTGGAAGATCTTCTCGTTCTTGGTGCTGGTGATGAGGTCACATACCAGCTTGGTGGCTCCCTCCTTGTCCAGCCGGCACTGGGTAGCCGCAATGGCTGACCAGTCTTGGTCCAAGCCTGGAAGAGGGACTCGCTTGAGGGAGAGCCAGTGTGGCAGAGGAGTAGAAGGGAGCAGTGGAGGGAACAGGCCACCTGGACACAGGATAGAGACAGGCAGCACTGACCAGTGCCCATGGGGTCTGGAAGGTCCCCCCGAGAGCTGGACTTCCGGTTCTGGAGGTAGTTTTGCAGCAGCATCTTGCGCAGCTGGTTGCCCTGAGAGAGGATGGGAGTGAGGCCCATACTGGCGGGCCTGAGCTCCTGCATCCTTGCAGCCCTCTCCCCAGGTCCCCACCCTGCACTTACCCGGTCCCCGCTCTTGGTCTTCTTGAGCAGCATCTGCTGCAGGGTCCGAAGTACCTTGATGCACAGCTTCTCTCTGACTCCATGAGGTCCTTGGTATGCTGGATCAGCCTGGGCAGGGGAAGCAGCAGCTCAGGGCAGCTGTGCAGCCACATCCCATCTGGCCCTTTGATCCTGGGGGCCAACCTTGTCCCCATCAGACCCACCCCTGGCCCAGGATGCTGTGCCCCCGCTGCCCCCCATGCCAGCTGGCACCCACTCACTTGGACAGGAATCCCCCACTCTCGCAGCGCTGGTAGGCCTCACTGCCCTCCAGGAAGAGCAGCTCAGGCCAGTGCAGGACATCTACCAACACCGACAGCTCAGCCTGCACCAGGGGCTTCAGCCGCTCCTCCAGAGCTGTGATGATGTCCTGAGGTAGGCAGGGCAGAGTCACTACCAGACCCAAGAACACCTCTCCCCCAAACACCAAACAGCACCACAGATTACACAGGGCCTGTCTTAAGGGGCCCTGGACTGGCAGAGATGGCCTGAGCAAGGCATAGCCCCTGTCTGTTCAGAGCACACCTGCTCAGACCCCAAAGCGTGACTTTAGGCAAACTCCTCCAGCTCTGACCTTTGGCAAACTCCTTGCCCTCTCTGGCCTATCTTCATGTGAGGTTAACAACCCACAACACCCCGTCCATAGGCAGTGGGCAGAAATGGGCTGCATAAACAGGCAGGGATGGCCCAACCCCCTTCATGAGCTCCAGTCCCACAGCAAGCCTCCAAGTTCTCCTGACCAGTCCCCTACCCCAGGGCCTGTCCCCAAGAGCCCCAGAGGAGGAACAAGCTAATCAGCCCCTTCCTGTGACTTGCAGGCACACAGGAAGGGATCTGCTCCCCAGAACCTGCCCTCCCCAGGAGGAGAGCTGCAGAGTCAGCCAGTCAAATGCCAGGCAGCCCCACTCACCTGCAGCTTCTCAATTATGTTCTTGTAGTCCCACTGGTTAGCGGTGGGGGTGACACGGGGGAAGGTCCGAGTGGCAGTCTTGTAGCAGCACTTCGCTGGGCAGCGGCAGCACAACTGGATCCACTGCTGAGCAGCACACTGATGTGGGCATCCAGGTCCATGGGCATCGAGATGGCCCTGCTCTTAGCTGCAGGGAGAGGGGTGCTGGAGGGCCGGGGTGGGTGGGGGCTGGTGGGCCAGGCTCAGGACGTCAAGGGATGTCATGCTGGGGGAGAAGGTACGCTAGTCCAGGGTGCAAGGCCTGAGGCACTTGCTCTCTTCTTGTTTGGGCTCTGCCTCTGACCCCTCCTCCTTCCCCAACAACCTATCGGCCTCCCTCCTGTCTGAGATTACTTGCAAGGACAAAATTAAAAAAAAAAAAAAAAAAACGAGAGAAAGAGAGAAGTGGGGGAGAG